TTTTCTTTTCTTTTAGAAAGTTCATCAAATAAATAATTATTTGAAGGAAGTGATTGAATTAGGTATTTCTTTTGTTCTTCAATATCGTTAATTTCGGCATTATAACATAATTGGCGAAAATTAGAAATAAATTTTGAGGTTTCGCCGCCTTCTATCTCTGTAATATATCTTAATAATTGCAATTTCCTTTTATTTGTATTCTTGAATACTGTATAGGAAATATCCTCCTTAAGTGCATTACGAAGTTTTTCCAAACTATCAATTCCACTTGGGAGTTTAATGGTAGCATTTATTAATGAAATTGCATAAGGTAAAAAATTACTATATGAAGTTTTACAGTTATAATTAAAAGAATTGTGAATATCATTTATCCATTCATCTGGATGAATATTTCCATTATATTTTGGATAGTTCATTTTTTTTGAATTTTTTTGAATTTTTTTTAATGGCGGAGTGAGTGATTTGGTTGATTTTGGAAATAAAATGTGAACATCGAATTTAAAATTAACAACTTCAAGTGTTTCACAAAAGAATGGAATTTCTATATTAATCAAAGATTTGCACATGTCTATTTTATAAACTTCAACAATCTTTCGTTTTAACAATTATGATGAGTCAGTCTTCTGCTAGTTAACTATTTGATATTAAATGTCACATGACAAGGTTGATAAAACCGTAATAAAATCGGATGTTTAATATTAAAATTTACTTAATTGAAAGGTTTTCATTGTTGCAATGGTTCACGTAATCCATTTATATGACGAACTCCAAGAGAGGGCTTCAATATAAACTAGATAGATGATAGATGATTAATATTGAAAAGCAGAACGCGGATATAAAATCAATTTTTTTTACGATATTTCTGTCTGAAAAACAAAATTATAAAAATCTCAATAAGCATCGTGATTAATTACGTTAGTAACGTCTCGGAGTAACGTTACCAGAATAAAATCAATCTTATTCTCATTTATAGATTTTGATTGTGACAAATCTTTTGACCTTAGTTAGAAATAGTTTAGTTTCGGCAATAACTATTTGATTTGATTTGTGATAAAGAACTTCCTTAATTGCATTAGCGTGTGGCGTAATTGCAGATTATTATATAAGATGTAACCGATTTCCACTGATATATTTGACGAAAAACTATTTTTATCTCAACTTTGATTGTCGTTTATTTATGCGTCAACTTTATTTCCTCTACGATAAATTTTAAAGCCGAAATTTAGAACTATTGTCAATGACTAATAAATTATTCCAGTTTTGTTTCTCTGGATATCTGACTATAAAAAAAGAATCCTTATCTTTTAAATACCATACATAATAGAATTGACAAGATGTTTGAAATTCGTGACAGACAATTTTGATATTAGGAGGAAAAAGCGTTGCTAGTGATATCACAAGATTACTGCGCCAATCATAATATATTATTATCAGTTATATCATAGATAGTTATTTTTTTTACTTTCTTTATTATTAAATATCTATTTCTTATTGATGTATTTTATATAAATATCTTGTATCTAATCTCTAATGAATTAATTATTTTTATCTTGTGAAACTTATTCTTTGCTCATTTACAATTAATTCTTTAATAAATATATATCAATAAAGATGATCTACTCGTGTTTATTTCTTTCTTAACTCCCTATTAGCAAATACAAATTGTTAACTAAACACATACTGTTTAAGCTTCATAGCATATAAATAACATTAGGGAAATTAACTGCATCATATTAGTCTAATTTGCAAATCATGTAATGTTCATTATTTAGAAAATTAAATTCATTCTGTTTTCTTCCTGATTATGATTAAAAAGAATGTAGAAAAAGCGATTTATTGGTATCAAAAAGCTGCAGAAAATGAACTAGCAATGTATAATTTAGCCATTTGTTATCAAGATGGAAAAGGAATAAAAGGGATTTAAAAAAGCAAGTTATTGGTATCAAAGAGCAGCTGAAAATGGTAATGAAAATGGCAATGTATTTAGCTAAATATTATCTAAATGGAATAATAATTAAAAAAAAAAAAATAGCTTCTAAAGGAGATATTAATGCTTGCGTGTTCTGAATAAGGTGTGGAAATCGAAATGTTCCATTTTATAATAGAATTTAAGATATTTATTAATTTTCGAATGTTTAGTTCTCTGCGTTAATATTAATGATTTTAATCGAGTTCAAATCGGTTGGATAACCAAGGGTAGTTTTGGTTTGAAACAATCACTCGAGTATATATATGCTTCACTAAATTCTAGTGTTAATAGCAGTTCTTTGATGTTTATGGGTTATAAACGGAGTTTTAAGGTAAGCATAAGGTATCGTGTTTATTGTTTTTACTAATTTAATTAATAATAATCGGAATTCCTAATCTAATACAACATAGATATCG